ATGTGGTGAATTATTACCTAAAGACTCCATAAAGCCATCCTCCCTGCTGGAGAGGGACAATAAAGAGATGCTTATCATAGAGAAAAAAGTTAATCACTACATTCGAGGATGTAATGTAACACAAAAAATGCAGCCTGTGTTTTGTCCTCGGTCTAAGGGTTGATCTGAAGCGGGAGTCAGTGAGGCGCTGAGTGGGAGCTCGAGCTGAGTCATCCCACCCTCAAGCAACCTGGGAAAGAAATCTGCATGGTCACAGAGAGCGGGGGGGGGGGTGACGAGGCGTGGCAATGTGCTCGCGGCTGACCAGGCGTGCTTCATTTACTGCATGTGATAGCTCCTAACATAACGGCCAACCTGAGCAGCTCCACTGACAGATGGAGAATATTAGCAGAGGAGCTCATGTGTGTGCACTGCTTACTGCCAGACTCAGAAAAGTAGCTGATAAGGGGATAGACTTAGGTGCTCATCCTGCTTGCTGTTGGAAATTAATGGAACAACATGTAAGGCTGAGTGTAAGAATAATAATCCGTTACTTAAAGAGTGTATAAATAGACTGGGTTTGGTTACGCTTGCACATCTTACAAATTAAATCCCAGAAGATGCAATTACTCTGCACAAAACTATCACGACAAAGTAAACTGCAATTACATATTCCCAACAGGAAATTGGCTAAAGTAGTTTATCTGTTTAAACCATGACAGCAGTGGAGGCACGCACATCTTGATTTGGGCAAGTTAATTTCACAGAAACGTGACAAATTCATCTGGCAAGTGTGAGAGCTCAATTAGGGCCCTGCACTCTGGAGAGATATCTGATACAGACCCAGAGGGGGCTCCACCCCTTCTGACTCTTTAGCATACCGGGCTCACGCTGTTGTTTTGCAGCATTGTTAGGACGGGGCTTATCATAATCTCCTGACATCCTAAATCTAATTCTTCACAGTGCAGTATGGATGTGGATAGATTTGAACTAAGACTGATCAAGGTGATGTTCTCAAAGCAGAGAGAGCCCCTCAGGGCTACTCGCTGCTCATAATGCCTTCTTAAAAGAGCTTTTAAAAATTCTTTATACGATTGATGTAATTAAAAATTGTATTTATGAAGCAATTTCCTTGAAATGAAAGTCCGTTTTTTATTACGAAATAAATACCTTTAATGTGGGTCTCATTTAGGACTATAAATGGCGCTTTAGTTTGAGGTTCAGCATGACCCAGACAAGAAGCCTCTCAGATAAACACACAGGCAGCACTCGCACCCTTTTGTCCTCCAGTTACCTAAAAGTGGAGTTAGTAAACAACATTTCTTTTTTAAAGGCTCGGCTGTTGCCAGGTTGGAGCTCTGTTTGAGCAGCAGGTTCAGACAACAGTGCCAAGCACTTTAACGCCAACAAAGGCCTTTTTGTGAGGCAGGGATCAGGTTAAAGAAAGGACAAGGGTCTGTTACACAAGGTGAGCAATTCCAGTGGTGATGTGCTGATCTCTGGGGCTGGCAGCATCTCAAGGTCACGCATGGAACACAGAGAACGTGGCTTTCACATTCAGTGTTTTCTCCTTGTCTTTTTTTATTTTCTCCATTGCTTTCACACTCTCTTTGCTCTTCAAGCCTTCTGCCTCTCCTGAGTGGTTAGTGTTGGATGTTCACAAGGTTGTGATTCAGGTTTGATGGTGCAGAGAGGCAAACAGAAAATGTGGTTCAGACTGACAGGAGCCAGAGTTTACTCAGGATCTAACCTCATGATTAATTCATTATCCACGTTTTGGGGGAAGTGTAGGAAGAGAAGAGAGGTTTTTCTACTGCAAATTCTTATACTGTAAATGATGTAACTTCAAAAACAAACATACTGCTGTTTGATCACTATAATTATGTTCCTACCGTAGCGGGAACTACCGCAGAGCAGGTTTAGAAAAATAAACCAAGTGTTTATATTTCTGTGTGTCAGCATGTGGACAGATGGCTATGTTTGGAGACGGTGTGGTTAGAGGGCATCAGGTATAGTAGGAGGATAGAGAGTGGTGAAGGGGTGATTGGATCACCCAAAGTTAAAATGTTAAACGATACGATGATACATGTCTCCATGTAAACACCATTGGGTTGGCCTTGCATCCAAACATGTTGGGAGGTACACAAGATAGAAGCAGAAAACTTGCTCCCTGAAAACAGCAGATAAACACACCTTTGTTTGCCTCATATTATCTTTGTTTGGATTAAACAACCATCACGTCCTCAGCAGGGTGCCTGTCTCAGTCTGAGAGAAAAGTCTGGATGGATAACAAAACCTTCCATAACATTTCACGTATTTCAATAAACTGTAGTTGTAGCAGTGTTTTCTTAAATCAAGGTTTGAGTGTAAATTGAAGCCATACAATTTAATAGCTGTAGTTCATACCTATCAACAAAACCCTTTTGTTAAAGTTTTGTTCTGATGTCTACCACCCAGTGTTTCCTGCCACCTGTTTAGGCAATGATTATCTGGATACGTTTTACGGAGGACGGGCTGGTGCTGTCAATAATCCTCCTATAATCTGAAAATCTGGCTGAGATACACATGCAGGCGCAGCGAGGCTGACCCACTCTGATCTGTGTAACTGTAACACAGTTTTCAAGATGATCCTCTTTCAAGAAATGTATTTACTTTTGAGGAAAAGCTAAATAAGCAGTTTTAAACCACACATTAAACTAAACACATCAAGGCATAGCTTTTGTGTTTTCAATTCACACAAAATATAATTTGAAGCCACTGAGTGTGAAGCTGCTACTCTGCTCTTTAACGTTAGACACTAGAAACAGGCTGAAACTTTCAGCAGGTCATTGGCAAAGACATCGGACTATTTAACGCCAAGCTATTTTTGAAGGAGCTCTAATGAGGATCTTGACATCCTTATTTGATGGTGATATATCAAGAGCGAGCACAGCACCCAGCCTACACACAGCTGACACAGCTCACACTGCACCACTGTTATTCCAGTGCGATGGCTAGCACAAGCATGCAAAGCGTAATTCCTGTCAGTTCCTCTGGCGATCTTCAAGGCCTGCAGGCCATTGGACATTATCAGCGGCACGTCCCTGAGAGCTCACCAAGGGGACAGAGAGATAAGCTCTGGAGGAATTCAAGGCCTTCTCACTCTGCTGCCGGCAACCTCATCACGACACAAGGGACCTCATATGTGAGCCACTTTCAAGTTCTCCTCTGCAGCCACAGCTCAGCGTGTGTGTGAAAATAAACATGTCTTTCTTTCTTTTAGGATTCAACATTTTTAGTGCAATCTGATGGTGCTCCACTGCAACGTGGCTTCTCTTGGTGATGCTGAGACTTTGTTGTTCACTGAGGCAGCAGCAGCAGTGGTGAAAGCACCCTCATTCTCCAGTGTACACATATGTTTCTCAGATGTTGGCATATTCCCCTGCAACTGTTTACTACTGCCTCTGAAAGGACTGGGCTCTCAGGGCAGCACAACGGCTGTTAGCAACAATACAATCTATGTGACTTTATTTTTTTTAATGAGCGCCCACAGATTTCTGCCATGTGCAGCTGAAACCGCATTACTATATGATGGGATAGACGCTCCCATTACCAGAGGGTTTAAATAAAATAAGGAGAACGGGGAGCTTTGATTTATATTTCACAGTGACGTTCATGATATTGCTTGTTCTAGATTCAGAGGCTATTAACTAAGTGCCGCCATAACAAGAGGTCTGTCGTGCGCTATGCTTTTTATTAATGTCATGCCGAGTGCTGAAATATCAGGAGCATGTGCAATTAGTGCCGTTTGGAAATTGATTTCAGCAGCAATGTGATCAATCCTAACAACCATTATGTTCTTCTTCTTTTGGACACAACACAGTGGTTGGTTCAATAAAATGACAGAGCATCAAAAACAATGGGTGGGGAAAGGGAGCTGCTGAATATGCATATGTTTCTTAAAATCATTAGCAGTTACCCAGTTTAATGGTTATTTTTCATTCAATAATCTGCTGTGTCTAAAATATGTCAGAAAAAAGCAAAAGGGTAATTTCTCAGAGAACACAGTGAAATGTTCAAATCCACAAAAAGTAGTAACTCGAGGTATTCAATTTAAAATGATACAAAAAAAAGAGATATTTAGTAGATGGTTGCATCCGAAAGGCTCGCAACAGAGCCTACTTCACACAAACTAAACATAAACAGTCTGTCAGACAGAGTTACACAACTGTTGTTTTAAAAACATGATAAATAAATTGCTTGCGAAAACAAGAATGTTATTAGATCCAAAATAATCTATAAATGACTTTCTTAAACCAACAAATGAAGGTTGGAAATGCAGGGTGGGTTCTGTCTGTTTGTGTTTGCATCTCTGGTTAACAATTAGCAACAGTGCTCTAATGAAAGTCAGCGACTTCACACTTTGGGGATAATGAGTGTTCAACCTGTGGTGCCACAAACCATGCACCTGGTTAGAGACAAATGCATTTCACTGCTCACTGAACATGAATGTGCAATGATAGAGAGCAGGGACATGTTCACGTCTGTCACACAGCAGCATACAAACCCTACAGTTGCTAGTAATACCCAAACATAACAAGTCAAATCATACCATTTATAATATATTAGAATTGTAGGCCTACTGCTACAGAAACAGAAAGGGCTGATAAGGCTGCTACCTCTGCTTCCCTCAGGTATTTGTATCACCTGAGGCTCAATCTCAAAGCATATGGCCTTAGAATAAACAAAGCTTAGTATACTGCAGCTACTTCTCAGGCTTTGATTTCAGAATCCGGTGATCATTATAAACTGCAAAAACACAATAACAAATTCTGGGTTGTGGGTTATGGTCTGCCTCAAGGATGTTAACCAGCAGTCTTCATACTGGTGCAGCTAGACTGAGTGCATACTTCTGGTTCTGAAACACCACAAATAAAAACAACATATGGGAACCTTTTACAGGATTATGTTCAACTTAAATGAATGCTTTTCTTCTGGGTTTTATCAAATCTAATTCCGGATGTGCAGTTTCTTCACCTTACCTTACACACGAGTCAAGAGGAAGCTCCAGCTGATGGTTTGATGCAGTTCACTTGACGCAACTCAGCTGAGGATATCTCAGGCTCTGACATGATGTTTCATCTCCACGATCAATCCGCCAAATATGCTTTCTGATCAGCTGTTTTTACTGTGATTCCATCCGCAGAAAAGCGACGTTAGTTTCCCTCATTAGCTCGCATAGCCACTCAGTCCTGTTAATAATCTACTGTACGCTACCGCAGATAAATCGCTTCTAGCTTTCACTCGGAGAAGGCAGGAGTAATGGCCTGAAGGCAGACCCTGGCCAAACCAGACAGTCCCTTCTTGGCTTCACTCGTTCCAGTCAGCTGTTCAAAGGGTGGATGTGATGCAGGCGCTGGGTCGACCTGTCTTTTCTGTTGCCTGGCCGATATGAAGGCTGTGTGACGCGGAGGCAGCGCCGAACCGTGCGCACCGCGCTTCCACCGCACCGCGCGGAGCAACAGCACTGCCTGCTGTACTCACAGAGACACAGCAGCGACACGGTGTGGCTGCCGCTCGGCTTCTCTGGGCAAACATGACATATTTGGCCCTGTTAATGGACGAGTTTTGGTGCTTTCGTCCAAATCAGATGTTGCCAGGTCAGTTTTGCGCATGCAAGCATTTCCCCTTGTCAGTACTTACCACGTGGAGCAGCTTCCATGCACCCCTTTAAACAAGAGGTGGGACTATTCAGATCGTGTACTTAGGTAAAAGTAGAAGTATTGGCATTGGTATATTAGTATTGGCATCTAAAATACTTAAAGTAGGCTACCAAAAGTAAAAGTAGGCCTCCTTATTATGCAGATCGGCCCTCTTCATCATCATTAATCCAAATCTAGAAAGTAACTAAAGGTACTAAATAAATGTAGCACATGATTTACCTTTGAATTGAAGTTGGGTAGAAGTACAAAGTAGCAAAACATTGAAATACTCAAGTAAATAACAAATACCTAAAAATTATACTTGTACTTGCGTAAATGTACTTAGTTTCTTTACACCACTACATTTCTAAATAACTCAACTACTGTTTATATGCAGTTGAACCAATACAAATCCATTGTTACTGCAGTGTGCTTTCTCAGCTGACTGGATTTCAGCAATGGAGAGTGGTAAGGTAAATTGATGTGCGGCAGAAATTGTATTGATAGCAGTAGGTTTAGGATTAGTTTAGAGTGCAGCTGGACCCCGTTTAATCCCATTAGCCTATGAGGAAAATGTTTTGTCTGTATGGTGAAATTACGTGCTGTCACATCATCATTTTATCTGATGATCTTTTCATACAGGAAAATATACAGAAGAAGACTTGAACCAACAATGTGTACATTATTCTTTCTTTATTGTCCTTTACAGTTAAATTAAATTCATTTATGTCTGCTTCTGGAAGTCCTTACATTCTCAAAATCATGAGATGATGAGATGATTGTGTGGCAGTGTAGCCATATGGCGCTGAGTGTAGCTATCTGTCTATATTATCTGTGTATTTGTGTGTAATAGCATCCAAAGCATTCACTGACTATGATTCCAGCGGCTATGAGAGAACGTCACTTAATGTAAATACATAAACACAGAAACTCAACCCGTTCCTGACTCACTGTGAGCAACATTGTTATACCACACCACTGTCACATTGTATTAACAGTGAGAGGTTTTTGTTGCTCGTTCTGCAGTCTGATTTTAATCCTGATTTCTGCTTCACCCCTCTCAGACCCGGTGATCATCCATTCTGTTTAACTGCAAATCTCCTTGTGTGTAAACTGCACTTCAATCAGTTTTATCGTTGTGTCCCTGACAGTCCCGGATGTTGAATCAATGGCTTAAAGCAACTGCATTACACAGATCCTTAAAGGGCATGTTGTCACGATCTGTCTGTGTTGTGTTTTGTCTTGTCTTTTTCTGTCTTTGGTTTTGTTAGAAATTAAAATCAATGTTGATATGGCGTAATTTGAATTAAATACACTATTTAATTTAAATCAGTTTTATTCTGAAAAACCGGAAGTTCACTAACTATTAACTTAATGCTTTTATTCTGAAAATTATTCATTTCCGGTTAGCATTAGCATGTGGCGAAATGCTGCATTTTCAAACCGTGAATCAAAGGTGAAATTACATGTGATGTTGTACACCGAGCACACTGGGTTTAGCACTCGTTTATTACCGCTGAATAACGTTTATTAGGAAATGTTTAAATAACCACAGACACCAGAATGATATAATTTAACAACAGAAAAAGGCAGAAATTTCATTGGACCCGCCCCCGACGACGCAGGCCAATAGGAGAAGACCTCAGATGACAACAGGAAAAGCAAGCCAAGGATTGACCTTTTCTACCTGCTGACCTGGACTGACCGGGCGGATGAGGAGAGCGCCTCCACTCGCATATTTCATTTTGTACACCACCGCATCTTTTGTGTAATTAAATGCTGTTAACTTTTATAAGCTTCCCTTGACTCTTTTCAGTCTCTCCTGCCTTCGGGGTTCGAGAATACACTAACAGTTTCATGTTTTATTTTGAAAAGTCTTCACCCCCTGTCTTGCCTGTCGCTTTCTGTCTGTTGTCCCTCCTACCTGATTACCCGATTGTGTTCACCTGGTGCCCCTGTGTTTTCTCCTCCCTCCTCACCTGTGTCTTGTTTGTGTGATTAGTCTTGTGTGTATTTAAGTTCTGGTTTTTCTGTCTGTCATTGTTGGTTCATTGTTTGTCGTTGACTGTGTTCACGAGGTAGTGTTCTGTTTTGTTCCTTACATCCTTGAAATAAAGGTATTTTTTCTGTTTATTCTGCATTTGGGTCCTGCCTCACTCACCCTAACAGAATTAACCAACCAGAAATGGACCCAGCAGATGATCCATTTGAGGTGGAATTAAGTAATTTGACCTTTTTTTTGGCTTGCTGCTTTGATTGGTGGAAGGGAGCATCCAATGTTCAGCAGAAGAGGGCCGCTCTTGGCAGAAGCGCACCGGTTGGCAACAGAGAAACGATATTTAGTAAAGTTTTTACCTGGCTGGATTATGGACTTCCTCCAGACATGTGATTCCTGGCTTGCTAGCCCCAGGCATGCTAGCTCCCTGCCTCCCAATTCCCAACCTGACACCATACGTCTCGGTGTGTTCCGTCTGGAGTCAACCCCTGCTTCTTCCCCATTTCCTGCTCCTGTCCAGGAGCCGTTCTCGGGTACTCGTCTGGCTTTTGGAGGTCCACTGATCCTCCAAAAGGCTCCTAAGAGAAGGAGTCGCAAGTCCAGGCTAGCAGCCCGAGCCCCAGAAGCCATGCTTTGGGCTCCAGTACAGGCCCCAGCAGCCATGGTTCCTGCTCCAGTTCTGGCCCCAGCAGCCATGGTTCCGGCCCCAGTTCTGGCTTACACAGCCAGGGTCCAGGCTTCTGTTCCGTGCCCAACAGCCATGGTTCCGGCTCCAGAACCGGCCCCAGCAGCCATGGTTTCGGCTCCAGTACTGGCTCTCCGGCCGACGCCAGCTCCCCGTGTCCTGTCGGCGTACCGGCCGACTCCAGCTCCTCGTCTCCTGTTGGCTCTCCGGCCGACGCCAGCTCCCCGTGTCGACATTCCCTCTCGAGTCACCTCTCGAATTCCCTATCAAGCCCTCTCTCGAGTTCCCTCTCGAGTTCCATCTCAAGTCCCTACTCGACTGCCATTGGAGGTTCCGCTGGGGGTCCTGCCAACTCCATGTCCTGTCCCGTTGGGGGTTCCGCCGACTACTCTCCTGCCGGGGGTCCTGCCAACCCTATGTCCTGTCCCGTTGGGGGTCCCGCCGACTGCTCTTCTGCCGGGGGTCCTGCCAACCCTGTGTCCTGTGCCGTTGGAGGTCCCGCCGTCTACTCTCCTGCCGGGGGTCCTGTCAACCCTGTGTCCTGTGCCGTTGGAGGTCCCGCCGACTACTCTCCTGCCAACCCTATGTCCTGTGCCGTTGGAGGTTCCGCTGGGGGTCCTGCCAACCCTGTGTCCTGTCCCGTTGGGGTTCCCGCCGACTGCTCTTCTGCCGGGGGTCCTGCCAACCCTGTGTCCTGTGCCGTTGGAGGCCCCGCCGACTACTCTTCTGCCGGCGGTCCTGCCAACCCTATGTCCTGTGCCGTTGGAGGTCCCGCCGACTACTCTCCTGCCGGGGGTCCTGCCAACCCTATGTCCTGTCCCGTTGGGGGTCCCGCCGACTGCTCTTCTGCCGGGGGTCCTGCCAACACCATATCCTGTCCTGTTGGGGGTCCCGCCGACACCAGCCCAGGTTCCGTCCAGGGTCTCGTCTACGTCTGACCCGCCAGGGTTTCCACCAGCTCCTGCCCGTCCTTGTGCCCGGCCCCCTGAGTTCCCCAGCCGCGGTCTTCGCCCTCGAGCCCGGCCCCCTGAGTGCCGTGGTCTTCGTCCTCGAGCCCGGCCCCCTGACTTTCCCGGCCGCGGTCCTCACCCTCGGGCCCGGCCCCCTGACCCTTCCAGCCGCTGCCTTCGCCCTCATGCCCGGCCCCCTGAGTTCGCCCGTTGTGGCCTTCGCCCCTTTGTGAACTCTGCCTTGCCCCCTGGTCGTCCGCCTGAGACCCCCACCGCGAACTCTGCCTTGCCCCCGGGCCGTCCGCCCGAGATCCCTTCCGGGTCCTCCGCTTTGCTCCTGGGCTGTCAGTCCAAACCCGTCCTCCAGACCCCCTCCACCCACCCTGGTGGCCCTAGTTTCTGTCTTTGGTTCCATGTTTTATTTTGACAAGTCTTCACCCCCTGTCTTGCCTGTCGCTTTCTGTCTGTTTTCCCTCCTACCTGATTACCCGATTGTGTTCACCTGGTGCCCCTGTGTTTTCTCCTCCCTCCTCACCTGTGTCTTGTTTGTGTGATTAGTCTTGTGTGTATTTAAGTTCTGGTTTTTCTGTCTGTCATTGTTGGTTCATTGTTTGTCGTTGACTGTGTTCACGAGCTAGTGTTCTGTTTTGTTCCTTAAATCCTTGAAATAAAGGTATTTTTTCTGTTTATTCTGCATTTGGGTCCTGCCTGCTTCACTCACCCTAACACATGTACACAAATAGACATTCACATGCAAGCAGAATGCACATAAATACACAGATAGCGTCCAGGGGGTATTGAGCCTCAAAACAGCCTCCTGCTGTTTTTTTCTCTGGAAAATGGGTCTAACAATAATACGTTTAAATTAAAGAGTTTTATGGGTTTGTCTCACCTATGTGGTTATTCAAAGCCTACTAAATCTATTCTAGCAAACCTTGCAGTCTGAATAAGCCACTTCGTCATTACAAGCTTAAAGCTGATCTGTCCTTAAGTGATGGTTTGGACACAACAGAAGATGACTCTGCATATTTCAGCAGCATCAGCATCATGGGTTGGTTGCTGTCTGTGATGTCTGTGGCCTGTAGCGCTGTCACCTACAATTACTCTGGTCTGCATGGTGACTCAGCAAAGCACTCCAACTTAGAGGGACTCTTGAAATCACCAGTGTGCATC